TTAAGATTATTCATATCGTTCTTTCTGTTATTTTTATAAATATGAAGAGCTTTACGTTTGGCATTAAATATTAAATAATTAGGATCATTTTCCGTATTTCTTTCCTCTTTATATTAATATTGAAGGCTATAAATACTAAGTGCTCTTAATTAGAATCTAATAATTATTTTGAATTTTATTTTGGTGTTATGGTGTGAAGGGAAAATTATGATATCATTTTTATTAGCGGATGTACGACACACAACATAAAAGTAAGTGTTTCTCTCGCGCTCTCCTCCTCTCTCCTTATTACTATTTCTCTCACTGCCTACATCTCTCTGTTTCTAACTCTTTCTGTTTCTCTTTTTTCTCTCGCTCTCTCTTTATCTCTCACTTAGTATCAATTTCTTTCTCTATCTCACTCGCTTTCTCTCTTTTTCAGGCTCTCTTCTTCTCTATATTACTATCGCTCTCTTCCCCCTCTTTCTCTCTTGCAATCTATCTCTCTCTCTTTCTGACTCTCTGATTCTCTCATTTTTCCTCGCTCTCTCTTCACCTCTCCCTTTCTTTCTATCTCTCTGTTTCTATCTATCTCTCTTTCTTTCCTTCTCTCTCAATATATATTTTTATGTATGTGTGTGTGTGTATGTGTGCTTTTAATTGTTCTGGCAGTTTAGTCAAGTGGCTTTTTACTTCTAATCTGGCAAAAATACACGTTCAATTACCTACACCGCTAGACGTTAATTTTGCCGTTAAAAGAGATTCCCATGAGAGTGTCGATCTGATTATATTATTTAAGAACATGACTTGAGTTCATTCCTAGGTTAATACTTTGGCGTTATAGCATCTTCCGTGTTGAAAAACAATGAAAAAGAAAAAAAATCAAACAACATTATGTGACGAGGGCACCTTTAAAACTTAAAATTTAACTCATATTTTTGTATCTCCCTAAGAGTACAGCTACATGCCAGGAGATACTGAAAGGATCACGACATGATTTAGGAATGATGTCATTTGGTCAAATTTGGGGGAGTGGGACGCGTGGAAAACGTTTCAACATCTCACGTCTATATTCATTCTAAACTGGGTGTTTTAAGAATCATCTTATTAAGGGGTCCACCCCTTTGTATACAAGTGGACTCGCCCAATGTGTACTTGTACTGCTGCCGGTGAATACCCAGGGAGTCAGTTAGTGAAAGTTTCGTGAAGCCCTCTGGGTCGGCAAGAGACTTTGTTCAGCAGGCTTGGAGAAATATCCAAACTGTCGTCGCTGTACGGGGGAAGTCGAGACTATTGGTCACGCCTTCTTTCAGTGCAGGGCGGTAGTGCCGTTGTGCAAGTGTGTTGAAGGCCTCATGGTTCGCATGCTGCATAGAAAGTTTTTTGTCCTGGAAGCCAGTTCTGTTTGTAGCAATGTGGTGCCGCAGATGACGAAGGCTGAACACTATGTGTTCTGTTGCTTACTAGGGGTTATGAGAGTCGTGATTTGGACGACGCGTCAGAAGGGATTCCATGAGGGCGAGAAGTTCACTTCTTCCCAACTGATCTTGTTCTTTAAGCATCAGCTTAAAGTCAAGATCAGGACGGAAAGGCGGCGGCTCACCTCATCGGAATTCAGCAAAGGTGGGTGATTCTTGCGCGAGTGTGCCGAGTAAAAGGGGCTGACCTTGAGTGGCATCTGGATGCCGGTTAGGCATTGGGATATTGTTTTCCTGGGTTGAACATAGGCAACCCATCCCGGAGTTAGGTTAGATTAGGTTTTTGTATTTTTCTTTTAGTTTTTCTATTCTGGTAAACTTAGCTAGGGTGTATTTGCTCATTGGTCCTTTTATTTCTGTCCCCATTTTTCTTTTCCTTTAGTTTAACTCCCCATCCCTCCCTCGTTTTAGGTGGTCAGTGATGTCAGTTCTCTGGTAGATGCGGGGCGCTTTTTCGTTTTCGTGCGTGTTTTTTCGTATTTGTTGTTGTGTATGAATGAGTGTGTGCCTGTGTGAATGCTTGGGATGAATGAGTGTGGCTTTATTTTTTTCATAAGTCCCGCATCGATTTCGTCCGGTTAACTGATATTTCTGCCACATTCAATAGTTTGTGGGGGTTTTATTACTAACACTAATTTTATTTGGTTTCTTGCAAATATTATTTTGTCATTTTGTATATATTTCATTGGGGATTTTTTAGAAGTTGTTGTTTTTTATGCCCCTCCCCCACAGACAATATTTGTACATAAGGGGATTATTTAGGTTTTTTCATGGAGTCAAAGAGGCATTTTGGTGTATGTAGTAAGAAAGGTATGGATAAATGTGTTGTTTTGGTGAAAGGATTATTGTTCAGTATGATAGGGTCAGTGGATGTGGCTAGCTAAGTTTTAATCTAAGACAAGTGATGACCGTCCTTTACCCCAACCCCCTTTTCGGCCTTGTGCCACATTTGTACCTTAGTACAATAAATAATGTCAGTTAGTGAAAGTCAGACAGTGATACAGAGTGAGAGTGTGAGGTAACCGCTTTGTAGGAGTCACAGTTGCGAGCACGTAGACTCAGAAGATACTGAATTTCCCAAACTCTATATATATTATTATTGCTACTAACCGCATTTCTGGATCGATTAACCGTATTACCGATTGTATTATTACGTCAATACATTTATTTGCTATATTTCATTCCTGCGTTTGTCATTCATTTGAGACCGGATTTCATCCCGGAATCCACAACACATCTTGTTTAAGCGTTTCACTCAGCCTTCCCTGTCATATAGAAGAATTGATATTGCATAAGTTCCGTACTCTTTTCTTTGTCTGTATTGCCTTAAGTCACTTCTTCATCGGTGAGCAGATTGTCCAGCATTCGCTGCCATATAAGAGGACTGATATTACATGACAGTTCAGCAGTCGTTTCTTTGTTTCTGTCGCCTTAAGTCTCTTCTTCATGTGTCATGAGATTGTCCAGCATTCACTGCCATATAGGAGGATTGATATTACATAACAATTCAGTACTCTTTTCTTTGTCTCTGTGGCCTTAAGTCTCTTCTACATCTGTGATGAGATTGTCCAGCATTCACTGCCATATAGGAGGATTGATATATGACATTTCAGTACTCTTTTCGTTTTTTCTCTTGCTTTAAGATTCTTCTTTTTCTGTGGGAAGATTGTCCAGCATTCACTGCCATATAGGAGGATTGATATTACATAATAATTCTATACACTTTTCTTTATTTCTGTGGCCTCTAGATTCTACTTCATCTGTGAAAAGATTGTCCAGCATTCGCTGCCATATGAGATGACTGATATTACATAACAGTTCAGTAGTCTTTTCTTTGTTTCTGTTGCCTTAAGTCTCTTCTTTATGTGTGATGAGATTGTCCAGCATTCATTGCCATACAGAAGGACTGATATTACATAACAATTCAGTATTCTTTTCTTTGTTTCTGTGGCCTCAAGTTTCTTCATCTGTGAGAAGATTGTGAAGCATTCGCTGCCATATAAGAGGACTGATATTACATGACAGTTCAGCAGTCTTTTCTTTGTTTCTGTCGCCTTAAGTCTCTTCTTCATGTGTGATGAGATTGTCCAGCATTCACTGCCATATAGGAGGATTGATATTACATAACAATTCAGTACTCTTTTCTTTGTCTCTGTGGCCTTAAGTCTCTTCTTCATCTGTGATGAGATTGTCCAGCATTCACTGCCATATAGGAGGATTGATATTACATAACAATTCAGTACTCTTTTCTTTGTTTCTGTGGCCTCAAGTCTCTTCTTCATCTGTGATGAGATTGTCCAGCATTCACTGCCATATAGGAGGATTGATATTACATAACAATTCAGTACTCTTTTCTTTGTTTCTGTGGCCTCAAGTCTCTTCTTCATCTGCGAGGAGATTGTCCAGCATTCACTGCCTTATAGGAATTCTGATATTACATAACAGTTTGGTATTCTTTTCTTTGTCTCTAATGCAGTTTTTCTGTGTCTTAATACTTGGCCTTATTTAAGAAATAAATAATTTACACAAGATCCTTATGTTTGTTTCCTTGTCTCTTTTACTTTCAATATGTCTTGTGAGTGTCACATTTTCTAAGCCCTCTTTCTTTATTGTCTGATCTAGAAATCTGAACTGTTTTTTTGTGATGTTATATATGAGTTTCTTTTTTGTTTCCGTTTTCTCTAAAACTTCTTCATTGCTCACATGTTTGGTCCATGACATTCTCCTGTAGAAATACATCACTATTGACTTAAATCTCTTCCCCACCCAGGAGGAGATAATCAAGCATTCACCGCCATCTGGGAGCACCAATATTACATAACAGTTAAGTATTTGTGCAAAGGAATGTTCTGATTTCAAAGTTCAGTTTTCTTGAGGCCATACACAACCATAAGGCGTAAAACCTGAGGATAATTTTTTCCAACTTTGGTGATGTGGTACTACAAATGCTTCCAATTTGTGTTAAACCGACACAGAAAAGCAGAATATTGGAACTAGCATGAAAAACTCAAACCAAGGTTTTCCAGACCAGATGGGGTCATCCTCAGACTCTTGCCATGCGACAAAGAGGACTAACCCGGATTATGTTATATTACAATATGAGATTAATGCCCGTTCAAAACGTTGACGATCATGACTCTCCACAGCGTCTGTTTTTTAATTATCTAATAACATCTTGGGAAAGATAGTGAAATGGTTTCCCTTTGCCTTCTATATGGTTTTGAATATAGAATTTTCCTTTTGCTTTTACGACATAAGCGATTACAGCTCTCCACAGTTTCCTTTTCTTTATTATCTGTGAATTGACACGCATCCTTTGGAGAGGCAGTGAAGTGGTTTTTAGATTGTAAGAGCTTTTTGGAGATAATAATGATTTACTGATACTAATTAATCCATAGCTAGAGGGGAGAAGAGGTGGATTCATACCTTTCCCAGTGGTATTTGCCCGAAAGTGAAATATAACGAACACAACGGCAATTGTACCTCGACCCTCCGAGTTCCAATTCCGAGCCCCTTATCAATTGCACCACTCGACCAGCCACGCTTACAGCACCTGATATTCCCAAGCAGTCACCCATCTACGTGCTGACTAGGCTCGGCGTTGCTTAACTTCGGTGATAGTACAAGAACCGATTTCAACGGGATATGGCCGTAAGCCTAAATGATTTGGAATACAGAGTTTTCTTCTCTTAAATTGGTTGCCACACAAGATAAGAGAGTTCAGTCTACACTGCTATTTAACCCATAACTCGTGCGAGGGGGAGTGGGGAGGTAGCAACGTGATGGGTTCATGCCTTTCCGTTAGGAATTACTGCGAAAGTGAATGCATCTGACTATTTTGGGATTTAAGCTTCGCTCTCCGATTTTACTTCTCGCTACTTACAAAAAAGCATCTAATTTGTTTTGAAAGACAAAATCATTGCCAATTTTGTAGATGATGAACTATTATTATTATTATTATTATTATGCGTTTTGCAATTCGTACCAGCATTATAATCGTGGTTGTTAAACGCAAATCTTTCGTCGTTTCCACATGAATATGACATCCAAGATGAGCATGCGGATCTGAACAGAAAATCACATGTCTTTCCCTTTAAATAAACTCAATAAAGATAAATGAACTCGTTATTAAACAAATCGAGTAACAAACTTTAAAAATTAAACACTTAAATGTTGATTTTGAGATCTTCAAGATATACTATTGAAGTTTCGACATTTATATGAAATGTCTCTTTTGTATAATTTACTTTCTTCTTCTCCAAAGCTGTGATCAAATTGCTAAGGTTGTTGTCATTTCAAGCACGGAAAATAGCTTTGATTGAAAAATGAAGCAGCTTAACTATAAAAGCCGTCGAAGAAACTATCGCTTATCTACAAGAATCACAAAAGACTAATTTGTAGTAATTTTCCTAGCGCAGCTTAGATGTGGCACAAGGCCGAAAGTTTGGGGCACCCAGTGAGGATCGAACTCACTATTCAGTCGTAAATGTTCTAGGGAGAGAAGCTCTCGAAGTGCCTCTAATTTGTAAATAAATAACGGAAAACAATTATTGTTGAAAATTGAATTTCAAAAGCTACATATACTTAGTTATATACTTAGACAAATAAGGGGAGACTACTCTGTGATTAACAGAACTCCAACTACATTCAAAATTAAAAATGAGATTTTCTTGTATTTCTAATAATCACTAGTCATTTTAATTTTATGTGTCATGTACTTTTAGTATGTAAACGATCATGGCTCTTCACAACATTCCTTCATTGTTGGTCTTAGTAACTTTTGCCTATTTACCATACCTCTGTTTCCTTGTTTTGTCATCTATTCACTGAATCTCGTAAAGGGGATTATTCACTGTTGATATCAGTTCCTTTTGTATTCTGTATGTTCTGTGCAGGACCGTCTTAGCAGCATTTTGGCGCCCTGGACAAACGAGTGTTTTGGGGCCTCTATGACAACTAATCACAAAAATAAAAAGTAAATGGTCGATAATATATATATATATATATATATATATATATATATATATATATATATATGCTTCACATAATACTTCTCGTTTTCACATGTGGTCATGTGTGACGTCATGAACTGCGGTGCGATTTTCGCTTCCAGCGTCTTGTATGCACGAGTTTGTCGTTGCTTGGAAATCTTCCATGTAAACAAAAACAGACTATCATAATTGTTTTGTCCGTGTATTGTTTAATATATTGAAATGTAATTGTCATCTTTGATAATGGCTTACGTAAGCCAAAAGCTTAGATTGGATTAAAAAATATGTATCAATATTGTGATTTTCTTTCTCCCTTTAATAATAATGTTATTAAGCTTATCAGACGTTATGAAAAGAATTTACATAAAATAAATAGACAACACTTGTCTATATTATTTAATGAAACATGCATGAATATATATATATATATATATATATATATATATATATATTATTAGCACTTCAACAAAACTAGTCTTAAAACATTAAAAACTTGCTGTGCAGCAGCTACTAATGAACATGATAAACATTTGAGCAATACACAAGGCTTGTAAATCAAAATAATACTCAGTAAGCCAGAAAGAGATATGATGGCGGAGTATAAAATTACTACGAACTTCTTCTTATAACAAACATTTACAGTATTTCTTTTCAGAGAATTTCTTTATTGGCTTGAAGTCAATGCTCTTCAGCCGTCCTGGGTAAGACGATAAACCACGTCCAGCAGCAAGGCCTCTAATCAGGAGGTTTTGAGGAGCGTGAAACCACCTCTTAACTGCTGGTGTTCCCAGATCCACCCTGATCCAGGGTTGTAGCACCTGTTAGGGTCCCAGATATGGGTAAATAGTTAACCCCCAAGCTAGGATCAAAACACTATGAAAGTGTAAAATAGGTTTTAATACCAGAAATACTTTGTAAAAAAAATTATTACCAGTAATACATTTTTGAAAAGGAAAAATATTACCAGCTATACATTTTCGAAAAAGAAAAAAATATTACCAGCAATATGTCGGCATTAAATAACTCAATAAGGTTGATATATCGTAAAACAAACCAAACCAATTCTCATCAGGATTAGGATGTTTTTTGCCATGCACATGAGTGAAATCCAGATCAAACAATTCTACTCCATTGATCGAAGCAATTTTTTTTATAAGTTTCAGTCTTGAAAAAGAACGTTCTACTGTACAGTTAATTACCATCATGCACCTGAACACTCTGAGTGCAATTTCAACATCCGGGAAAACAGATTTGAAATATTCTGAAATTATTATTTTTTGTACAGTGCAGAGAGAGTCTCACAATTTTTCTCAAGGGACATGTGCTTGAGATGCTGATATTCATTTAAAAGATCATCATAATTTATTTCTTTCTGATACATATTAGCACTTTTTCTTTCTTTCATCAGGAGCAATGGTTTTCAATTGACTGAAGGAAGAAAACGGATTTCCAATCTGTGAATAAGCCTGTAAGCCTTTTGTAATTTCAAAGATTAGAGTGTCCGGAATAGGAAGGAAAGTTTCTACCTTGAACTTTTCGGTTTGACTGAGAAGTATCTTTTGCTGCTGATCGGTTTCGTTCCCGCTTTTTTCCTATCATTGTAATCTGGATCTGGACACATAGTTCTGGCGTTGAATTCATTAAATCTGTTTCTAGTTTCCTGAAGGTAGGTTTTCATAGATTCAAGAAGATTCGTGGCAACAAGAATGTTCACATCCTTTAATTGCAGGACCTTGCTTGTTTTTGTCTATTCTTTCTAGCATATCATTCCAAAGAATTGTCAGAAAGATTGTTTCCAGGTTTTCCATTTTTTCTGCTTTGTATTCACTTGCTATTCATTGTCAGCTGATAGAGAATCCAGTGCATGTTTTATTTTCTCAAAACCCCCAATACAGAGTATGAACAGCATCAAAATGTGCTGACCATCGTGTGTCAGACAGACGCTTGACCATAAATTCTTTTTTCCTTGAGATGATGTCACTACATTCCAGCGATGAGTAGAAGCAGTAAAAAATGAATACTGATGCTGAACAAAATCAAAGAATTTTACAGTCTGTAGACAACGCGTTACTGCTTTTATTCCCACTAAGTTCAGCCTATGCCCAGCACTGGGTACATAGATAGCAAACTCATTGAGGTGATGAATCTGTGCATGCAATCCAGTATATCATCCAGACATATTTGAGGCATTATCATATGGCTGACCACAGCAGTTTCATAAATCTACAACAGTGTCTGTTAGATACTTTTCTCCATGGGAAAAGATGGGGATGAACATCAAGAAACGTTCCACAGGCTCACAGCCTTTAATAGATCAGACAGTAAATGGCAGTTGATCTGTGTGGGAGATGGAATCTACAATTATTGAATAATACTTTGACTCTTTTACTTCTTCAAGAATAGTACAAAGAACCTATTGTCCCATTAATTCCTCACAAATATTCTCTGATAAATATAACGGATTCTCTTTACCAGTCTTTCCATACATTTTGAGATGTTCTTCCAAAAAAGGGGCACGTTCAGCAGCTCTAGTATACCTAAATAGTTGCCATTTTTTTGCTGACCCAATAATCTGATTTTCTCCGCGAAATGGCAAACCTCTAGAGCCAAGAAAGCGTATTACAGAAACTACATTTATCAAAATTTTATGCCACTATTCCTGCTCTGAGCGATGTTGTTCAAGTAATATAGAATCTATATTGTGCATTGAGGGATGTTGTTCAAGTAATATATCCAGTTTCTTTCTGCTTAATCATATATTATGTCATGCCCTTTCGTTGTTCTACAGTAACCTTGCTCTACTTCCAGTCGTTGAACCCTGATGTAACAAAGTGAGATTCTTTCTTGGACAATAGGCGACACAGAAACGACCTTGCGATAGTGAATAAATAGCCATTCATGTTTTAAATACTCGCTATTCCGCAGCTCACGTTTGAAGACGTTATTTTTTGTGATGTCAACGAACATTTGCTAATTTTGTGATGTCAACGAATACTCGTTGTCACTTATGTAATGCTCGTTGTAATAGAGATTTTGTAATCTCAGATACAACTATAGTAACGCCGTTTAACAATACTGGTGTCAGACGCTTTCGGATAACACTCGCACTAATTGTACTTACGCGATAATACTCGCTCTAAAAAAAAAGCACTTTATAGTGATCTGAATAGTAATCCGTATAGTGATCAGTATAGAGAATAGTTTAGTGAATTGAGTAGAGAATAGCGGTCTGTATAGTAATAGAGGATAGGCTACAAATAGCGATCCATATAGTAATAGAGGATAGAATAGAAATAGCAATACGGATAGTAATAGAGGATGGAATAGAAATAGCGATCCGAATAGTAATAGAGGATAGAATAGAAATAGAGATCCGTATAGTAATAGAGGATAGAATAGAAATAGAGATCCGTATAGTAATAGAGGATAGAATAGAAATAGTGATCCGAATAGTAACAGAGGATAGAATAGAAATAGTGACCCGTACAGTAATAGAGGATAGAATAAAAATAGCGATTCGAATAGTAATAGAGGATAGAATAGAAATAGCGATCTGAATATTTATAGAGGATAGAATAGAAATAGTGGTCCGAATAGTAATAGAGGATAGAATAGAAATAGCGATCCGTATAGTAATAGAGGATAGGCTAGAAATAGCGATCCG